GTATAAGTCCTGCCCTGATTTGCCTTTCCAAAATGCAGCACCTCACATTTATCTAAATTAAACTCCATTTGTCTACCTTAACGTTTTTCAAGACACCCAACAGCTCACCCTTCTTAATATCAACATACCTTAGAGTATCAAAACAACCCCTCTCTAAACTTACCATCATCCATGTCTTCCTCCTTGGTGAATGCCAATGTGAGGTACTCATTATGGATCTAACCCACTTCCCCTGGCTCCACACATAAATTCCCTCTTTTGTCCTTGGGTGTACTGACCCTTTCCCTAGTTACCTTCTTAATCCTAATGTCCACGTAAAATGTCTTGGGATTCTCCTTAATCCCAATTGCCAAAGACATTTCATGGCCCCTTCTAGACCTCATAATTTCTTGTTTAAATTCTTTTCAGCTTCCTTTACACACCTCAAGGGCCTTGTTTGATTTCTGTTTCATAAATCTTATAGATGCTTTCTTTTTCTTTTTGACTAAACTTTCATTATCCGTTGTCATCCGAGGTTCCCAAATTTTGCCAGCCTTATCTTTCATCCCCACAGGAACATGCTGGTCCTGAACTCAACTGGCCTTTAAAAGACTTCCACATGTCAGATGTGGATTTATCTTCAATCAGCTACCCTAATCCAATCTTATTTCCAGTTCCTGCCTAATACGTTGTGGTTAGCCTTCCCCCAATTTAGCACTTTCACCAGAGGACAAGTCTGATCTTTTCCATAACTACCTTAAAACTTAGAGAATTATGATCATTGTCCCCAAAATGTATCCCCACTGAAAATTTGATCACCTAGCCAGGTTCAATTCCAAATGCAGAGTCTAATATAGTCCCTTCCCTTGTTGGACTATCTACATATTGTTTCAAGAAATCCCCCGGATGTACCTAATAAATTCAGCCCTATGCAAGCCCTTGGTCCTAACGGAGTCCCAGTCAATATTGGGGAAATTAAAATCACTCACTAGCACAATGTTGTATTTTTATTACATCTTTCCATAATCTGTTTACATATCTGTTCCTCTATCTCCCACTGGATTTTTGGAGATTTGTAGTATAACCCCATCATAGTGATTGTACCTTTCTTATGCCTGAGTTCTACCCATAATGCCTTGCTGGATGAACCCTCCAAGATGTCCTGTGTTAGTGCAGCTGTAACATTCTCCAAAATCGGTAATGCAACTCGTCACCCCTTTTACATCCCTCTCTATCTCATCTGAAATATCTAAACCCTGAATGTTGAACTTCCAGTCCTGTCCTTCTCTCAACCAAGTTTCTGTAATGGCTACTACATCATATTCCCATGTACTAATCCAGGCTCTAACCTCATCCACCTTATCTGCTATACTCATTGCATTAATATGAATACAGTTCAGATCACGAGTTCTGCTGTGTTCTTAACTTGGCCCTGCCTGTTCTTCCTTATTAGACTTACTTGACTGATTCCCACTCTTCTCTTCGAACACTCCACATGCTGACCTACTCCTCTGTTTCTCATCTACCTGCCACACCAGTTTAAACCCTCCTAAGTGGAACCAGCAAACATCCCCACCAGGATATTGGCACCCCTCCATCCTTCTTGTACAGGTCCCACTTGCCCTGGAAGCAATCACAATGATCCAGAATTCTGAATCTCTCCCTTCTACACCAGCTCTTTAGCCACGCTTACAACTGTATTATCTTCTTACTTCTGGCCTCAATAGCATGTGGCACAGGGAGCAATCCCAAGATTACAAACCTAGAGGTCCTGTTTTTCAAATTCCTACCTAACTCCCTAAGTTTCCTTTCCAGGACCTCATCGCTCTTTCTGCCTACATCATTCGTACCAATATGAACAATGGTCTCAGGTTGCTTACTCACCACGTTCAGAATATCCTGTGCCTGCTCAGACACATCGTTGACTCTGGTACCAGGAAGGTAATGCACCTTTCTAGAGTCTCACTTGCAGCCACAGAAGCATCTATCTGTTCTCTTGACTATAGAGTCCCCTATCACTATTGCTCACCTACACTTCGACCCTCACCCTTACCTCTATTCCTAACAAACTACAATGACAAAAATAAGTACTTTATACTCTATCTCCCCTCAGACACTATTCACACTGTCTGTTGACCTGGTTCCTAAGCAGCTAAGCCTACTTCAGTTTTTGAGTCATGAATACACCTCCGGAACTCTGCCTCTGTATTCAGCTCCATTCCTGCTGCCAACGCTCTGATTTACCTCAGTCTTATCTGACTGACCCTGCTCCTCAGGTATTTATCCTGTAGCTCATGCCGCTATTCACTCCCAGGCTTACTGTGTTGTACTGCCTCAACTGCTGCCACTCACACCTTACTTTCATCATGCATTGGGGTCTGTCAACAGGCCCAAGCAAAATCCCTGAAATTGGAGAACCAGAGCTCTCTTCTGCTTCATGGACTGCTGGTCATCCTACCTGTGGTCACTATTCGATTCTGGCACTGTTGTGATTAAACTAATTAGCTAGCAGCTCTGTATTGCCTAGGATTTCCTTCCTGACAGGGGCAGAAGTCCCAAGTAAGGCTGCCCACAGTGTACTACCACAGATCAATGTGGTGCTGATAGGCTTTTCAGTCTGGGGTGGTAATACATAACCCCATAAAATGCATCCTGTGATTTGATAATCTGTATGGTATGGGCAATAACAAAGTTGCTGGAAAAGCTCAGCAGGCAGCATCTGTGGAGGAGAAAACAGAGTTAATGTTTCGGGTCTGGTGACCCTTCCTCAGAGCTGATGGTGGCTGGGAAAACGTCAGTTTATATGCAGAAAATAGGGAGGTGAACAAAAACAAAGTTGCTGGAAAAGCTCAGCAGGTCTGGCAGCATCTGTGGACGAGAAAACAGAGTTAACGTTTCGGGTCCGTATGAGCATGTTCTTCGCCACCAGGGAATGTACCAAATGTTCCTATTCTTCTGTTGACTGTTTTGAAAGATGGTAATTTTTGGATCAAATTGGATAACTGACTAAGAAATACATAGTAACAGATTGTGACTAACAACAGTATTCCATCAGACATAAATGGCAAGAACTAATAGACCATTGTTGATCAGATTACTTTCAAATAATCTTCAAGAGGAGCATCTTTATAACAGAATGTAAAACATTATAGACAATAGCAGAAGGTACACAGAAAACACAAATATTCAAACACATCTTTGGGAGAGTTTGCCAGTGGGCAGATATATTGTCAATAAAATTCAACTTTGGGACATGTAACATAATGCAATTGGTATTAAGGAAACAAAGGTATTAATAAATTAAGTTTACTTTGTTAAACAAGAAGATAAACAAGAAATGATCTAAGAGTCATTCTTGAGCAAAAGATAATAGCAGTTGCAAACAAAGTGCTCAAAGTGTCCATAGAATTTAAGTCAAAGAAATCTCAGGTCGAAAATCATCTGCTGATGGTTTTGTTGTAGTGAGGATAAGACTGACATTTCCATGGTCACCATTCATAAATTGCTTTCTGGAATCAATAATATATTTAAAGACAGATGGTCAATTGTGTTTGACAGGAGGAATAAGGAGGCATCTTGGAAAGTAAGAGTACAAAGGAATCTTTTGACACTGTGACAAAATAGTTTAAAGTAGCAAATCTAGTTAACAAAACCTTAAGAAGTACAGACAAATGTAGGGTTATTTCTAGTGGAAGAGAATTAAAATGCAAATAATAGTGAGCGTGTGGAATTCCCCACCATTTTGAATATTTAAGGTGCATAACATTGCGGTATAAAGCATATGAAGAGAAACCAGATAAATAGGTGAAAAAAATAAAAGGATATGCTAAAAGGATGAGATGAAGGCAGATTACATGAGGCTCATGTGCAGCAGAAACACATACATTGACAGATTGCTGTATGCTGTAAAACCTATGTAATTCTACGCAACGTTTTGAACTGCCCAAGTGTATTTACATTATGCTCACAAATTATAAACCTGGAAATTATTCAGGAATTCAGCTTAAACCTTTCATATAGTATCCCTGGTCTGTAATTTTAACAGAAGTGTTAACTTATTTAAACTAAGAAAGTCAGTACATCTAATAAAATGCCAAACAATGAAACAGAGGGAATGCGCTATGCTAATATAATGAGGCTATAAATGATGAAAAGTATTTAGAAAAAGACAAGATATTTCAGATGATTGTATTTTGACAGAGGAGCCATGATGCTAAGCAAACTTGAAGATAATTAAAGGCACATTTATAAAGTGGGTTCATACAAATTTGAAATTGGAGCATCAAAGGTCATGTTTATTAGATAAAGAAGCCTTTAATTAAATTTAACTTTGGAAAGTGAATTTCGTCTTAGGCCAGCATGACTTATATTAATCCTACAGTTCACAAAGGCCTATCCAGATGAATGAAGTATTGAAGATGTGATCAGCCACAACATTATGAAGAACTGGTCAGACAATTTAGTATAATGAATACTTTCAGACCTTAAGAAAATAAGATATTGCAATTGAAAACATACACTCTACTTACTAAGAAAAGGATATAAATGTCAACCTTTCCATAATTTATTAAGTGGAAATCCACAAGTGCGTCAGTTGCCAACATTAATTTCCTTAATACCTAAATAGTCAATACTGCATACTGGCAACAGAGGACCTTTGACAATGTTGCTTCATTGTTTGCTGCAACAAAAAAAAATCATCCAAACTGTAGTGAGAGTCATCTATTTATGTGCTTCATTGTGAAAAAAATTAGATTCCTACCAAACAGAAGCTTTCTAAGGAGAAGTAAATTTCAAACAAAATTCAATATACTTCATTATAATAGGGCCACGGGATAACTGCAATTTTCCTCAACTTTCATCATGATTTTCAGACTTCTGAAACACTATTGTATGACAGCAAATACTTTGCTACAACAAACTTGAAGAAAAAGTCAGAAGCTAGCAGTGTTAATTACCATTACAGGAGATGGAACACTTATTGGGAAAATCTTTATATTTTTGACATACCTGAACAGCACCATTTGACAAATTACTGAAAAGTGCTTGCCCAGCACTGACTTTGTGTTTGACACCTCTCACTGTACCATTTTTACTTAAGATATTAATTCTCTTTCGAAAGATTCCTCTGTCTTTGGTGGTACTTGCTAACAGAAGCATGTCATCACATTCACTTTCATTACCACCAGTTTCCAAAGCAAAATGCTGCCCATTATATCCATTCACTTCACTGTAGCCACTGCATTGCTCAGTCTCAGAATTGCTGGCACATTCTGACACTTGGGAGTCCACCAGGTTTCCATCGGTATACACTTCTTTCAGCACTCTTCCACTGTTTGCAGAACATACTCGAAACCTGACTTTTTTCTGTTGGCGCTCTCCGTCTGTCTTCATTAGGCCAATGAGTCTAGATTTTTCCATCGGAGAGTGAATTTCACATTGTCCTTTTACAGAAATCCTTCTGCAGTCTGTTCAAATTGAATATAAAGACTTCCCACTTATGTAGGTAGATATTTCATATATATTGCAGTACCATCAAAATTTAAGAGTGTGAAGGGCAACAGGTCAGCACTAATCCTCATAGAGTCTTACTTCAATAATGTATAACATTACATCATAGACACCTTTATATCAGCAGTAGGTAAAGTGATACAAATGATTAAATATTTTATCACCATTGTGTATTCTCTGTGTACCATCCAAGGTAGCAACATTAGTTCATTCCAATTGCTCTACAATTTCACTTTAAACCTCTCTCTTGTCTCATGATTAGGACCAATGAGTTGTTTTTAACAATTGGTGCTAAACCTCATCTGAACGGAGTGCAACAAGGAACAGCTGGCAAGACAAATTCATAGTCCTTGCAGAACATGACAGAAATTCATTTTATTGTAATGAATGATGAAATTCTTTTAGCTTTTGTAAGAAAAATATAAACATTTTCTTTTGAAACAAGAGGATGGCAATGTGCTAGTACAAACTGGATAACTGACATAAGTTAGCATATATGGCAGGCCATTTGGCCCATTTAGTCCATGTCTGTGATTAGGCTCCACTTGGGCCTTCCCCAGAGTTTTCTCTGATATAAATGTATTTTCATAATCTATTCCCTTCTCCCTCATTTGTTTGTATAGTTTCCACGTAAATATATCTAAACAATTTACTTCAACTGGCTAAAGAAGTTTCTTCAGAATTCTCTCCTGGATTATTTGTCCTTTGGATTTGTCTGGGTTGTAAATGTCACTAGCAAGTGTCAGCATTTGTAGGCCATCCCTAGTTGCCCCTCTCTAAGCCATTTCAGAGGTCACCTAAAGGTCAATCACATCGTCGTTGTTTTGGAGTTACATGTAGGATATTTGTGAACTATATGGATTTTTATGACAATTAACAATGGTTACAACATCGTTTGTAATTCCAGGTTCTATTCAATTTTCACCATATGTCATGGTGGGATTCAAACCCATGCCACATAACACTAGCCTGGATTACTAAGCCAGTACCATTATCACTTATACCAACTATCCCAGCTACATTTAGTTAGTGGTACAGTTTCATTGTGACAATCTTATATTCATCACCTCTACATATGTTTTTACCCCTGCTTTTGTCCACTCTATCAAAATCATTCATAATTTTAAAGACCTCGCTGTGCAGTGCACAATGCAAATGCATCAGTATCAGCAAATGCAGCCATCCCCTTTTTGGCCTCTGATCACCTCTACTCCTCCTTTAACCACCCTATAGAAGACTAGGATTTCCCTTTATGTTAGCTACTAGTCTTTTCCCATAGTTTTTCTTTGCTTAGAATCATAGAAACCATATAGCGCTGAAAGAGGACATTCAGCTTATTGAATCTGCACTGACCCTCCGAATAGCAACTCACACAGAAAATCTTCAACTCAATGGCCTGGCATATCCCCCGCTCAACCATTACCATCAAGCCAGGGATTCAATGGAGACTGCAGGAGAGCATATCAGGAGCTGCACCAGGCATGCTTCAAAATGAGATGTGAATCTGGTGAAGCTGTCAGGACTAATTGCATGCCAAACAGCACTAGCAACAAGTTATAGACAGAGCTAAGTGATCCTGCAATCAACGGATAAGATCTAATCTCTGCAGTCTACCCGCTGTTGTGAATGGTGGTGGACAATTAAACAATTTACTGGAGGAGTAGGTTCCACAAATATCCCAATCTTCAATCATGGAACAGTCCAACATATCAGTGCAAAAGATAAGGCAGAAGCAAACTTCCACCATACGTGCCAAGTGAATGATCCGTCTTGGCTTCCTCCAGTGGTCTCCAGTGTCAGAGATACCAGTCTTCACCTAATTCAATTGACTCCACTTGATATCCAGAATCAGTTGGAGACACTGGGTACTGCAAAGGCTATGGACCCTGACAACATTCTGGCAATAGTACTGAAGACTTGTGCTCCAGAACTTGCTGCTCCCCTAGCCAAGCTGTTCCAGTACAGTTATAATGCTGGCATCTATCTCACAATGTGGAAAATTGCCCAGGTATGTCCAGTACATTAAAAAAAGTACAAATCCAACCCAGCCAGTTACCGCCCTATCAGTCTACTGTCGATCATCAGTAAAGTGATGGAAAGTGTCATCAACAGTGCTATCAAGCAGCACTTGCTCAGCAATAACCTGCTCAGTGATGCCCAGTTTGGGTTCTGCCAGACCCACTCTGCCCCGACCTCATTACAGCCTTGGTTCAAACATGGACAAAACAGTTGAATCCCAGAGGTGAGATGAGAGTGACAACTCTTGACACCAAGGCTGTATTTGACTGAGTGTGGCATCAAGGAGCCTTAGCAAAATTTGCATCAGTGGGTATCAGGGGGCAAACTCTCCCCCATTGAAGACATACCTGACACATAGGAAGATGGGATAACAAGGTGTAGATCTGGATAAACACAGCAGGCCAAGCATCATCAGAGGAGAAGGAAGGCTGACGTTTCGGGCCTAGGCCCTTCTTCAGAAAATGGAAGATGGTTTTGGTTGTTGGACATCAGTCATTTCAGCTCCAGGACATCTCTGCAGAAGTTCTTCAGGGTAGTGCCCTAGGTCCAACTGTCTTCAGCTGCTTCATCAATGATTTTCCCTCCATCACAAGGTTAGAAGTGGGGATATTTGCCAATGATTGCACAATGGTTAGTATCATTCATGACTCCTCAGATATTGAAGCAGTCCATGTTCAAATGCAACAACACTGAACACTATTCAAGCTTGAACTGAAAAGTGACAAGTAACTTTCACACCACACAAATGTTAGACAATGACCATCTCCAATAAGGTGCATTCTAACCACATCCCTTAACATTCAATGGCATTACTATCACTGAATCCCCTACTAACAATGTCCTGGGGATTACCATTGATCAGAAACTCAGATGGACTCACCATATAAATACAATGGCTACGAGAAATGGTTAAAGACTAGAAATACTGCAGCAAGTAACTCACTTCCTGACTCCCCAGAACCTGTCCACCACAAGTCCGGAGTGTGATGGAATACTCCCCACTTGCCTCATGAGTGCAGCTCAAACAACACTCAAGAAGCTTAGCATCATTCAGGACAATGAGCATCACATCCACAAGCAACCACTCCATCCACCATCGACACTCGGTATCAGCAGTGAATACTATTTACAAAATGCATTGCAGATATCCACCAAAAATCCTTAGATAGTGTGTTTGACACATAACTACTTCCACCCTGAAAGGACAAGGGCAGCAGATATGCGAGAAAACCATCACCTACATGTTCGCCATCAAGCCACGCACCATGCTAATTTGGAAACATATCGGCCTTCCTTCCTTGCATCAAAATCCTGTAATTGCCTCCCTTATAGCATTCTGGGTCTACCTACAGCAAAAAGGCTGCAGCAGTTCAAGAAGGCAGCTCCTCCATACCTTTCAAAGGCAACTAGGGATAGGCAATAAATGCTGGCCAAATCAGCAATGCCCACATCCAATGAGAGATTAAATAGAAAATGAAATAGAGAAGATCATGGTGTAGTGATTCAATTACTGAACTGTAGTAATTTCTAATGAACCTGTTCAGAAATGTTACTATACACCTGTGAGTATAAGAGGTGGGATGACATGTTGTGGTTGTACAGGACATTTGTTAGGCCACTTTTGGAATATTACATTCATTGCTGGTCTCTCTTGCTATAGGAAAGATGTTGTTAAACTTGAAAGAATGCAGAAAAGATTTACAAGGATATTGTTGAAGTTGGAGGGTTTGAGCTATAGGGAGAGGCTGAATAGGCTGAATTTCCTGAAGTGTCAGATGTTGAGGGGTGACCTTATAGAGGTTTACAAAATCATGAGGAGCATGGATAGGGTGAATAGCCAAGGTCTTTTTCTGAGGGCCGGGGAGTCCAAAACTAAAAAGGCTTAGGTTTTCATGTAGAAGGTGCTTCATGTGAAATGAGCTGCCAGACAAAGTGGTGGAGGCTGGTACAATAACAACATTTAAAAGACTTCTGGATGGGTATATGAATAGGAAGGATTTAGAGGGATATGGGCCAAATGCTGGCAAATGGGACGAGATCAATTTAGGATATTTGATGGCATGGATGAGTTGGACTAAAGGGTCGGTTCCCATGCTGTACAATTCTATGACTCTCTGGCTCTGAATCAGGTGGAACCTGATCCCAACCTCCTGGTCAGAAGTAGAGACATGACTACTACACCATAAGAGCCCTTATAATCACTGTACTGTAAAAGACATGATATCAATGAGAATTGAAAGTGTGCAATTTGATGGAAGATAATCAATGTAGATTGAATTCATCAGCAAAAATGGGATGAGAGAAAGACATTGTTGATATTGAGAAAGAGCAGAGTGGGAAAGAAGATGGATCCTTTGGAATCTCCGGATTTATTGTTTAAAAAATTCAAAACATAAATCAAACAACACAGTGTGAGCAGTTGTGAATCAGTTGCATGCATACTGTGGGTAGCTGATGTATCGACATTATAAAATATTTAAATCTCTATTTTAAAATAGCTCCACAAGTAAATTGTAATCAATAATGATTTTTTTGCAACAAAAATGAACAGAAGATACATTTGATTAACCAAAATCCTGGAATTCCCTCCCCAGTAGCATTCTGGGTCTACCTACAGCAAATGGACTGCAGCTGTTCAAGAAGGCAGCTCATTCCCACCTTACAAGAGCAACTTGGGATAGGCAATAAATGCTGGCCACGTCAGCAATGCCCGCATCCCATTTATAATTATGATAAAATAAAAAAAGGACTTGCATTTACGTAGCATTTCTCATGACTGCTAGATGCCTAAAAGAGCCTACAGCCAATTAAGTACTTGTATAGTGGGATTATTGTTGTAATTGTTCTGATCCCAGCTGATTTTA